GGGACACGTGCCTTCTGTGCCTCGTCCACCCCATACGAATTTCTTCCACACCATTTTGAAATGCAGGGAAAAGAATTGGATCGAGACGATTAAGGTCCCACATCTGTCCAGTCATGCATTAATTTGTTATTTTGGCATCATCGATGCTTTGCCCAATTAGTTGTCGATGCATTTTGTAATCCCTAACGCGCATTTATTGTTGGAGAAGGCTACGCTCCTACCCATCATTCTGAGCTCTGGTGCATTTTTTTTTTTTCAACGACACGCCGAAGAAATTTTGGCAGCCTTGGTCAATCACTGTTTGGCGCCGAAAGCTGGCGCATTGACAAGCGTGTTGGCCCGAAGAGTCCGCGGATATGGCGTTCCCACAGGAGGGCGCTGGTCAAGGTGAATGGTGAAGCGATGCAGCATTTGGGTTGATAGCATTTGCGTCCCTTTTTTGGGGCCGCCTTGGCATTCTGGACTCCATTGAAATATGCTTAACTGGGCAGTCGAGTCCACTCAAGGTTATAGGCATATGAGCGACAAACCATACCCGTAACGACACCCTGGAGTGTTATAGCGATAAATGGAGGTAGAGTGGCGCATGCCACCTTTATCAAGTTTGACATTTATTAATGAGCATGCGAATAATGGCAATAGGAGCCAGATTGGGAATGTGTATCGATATAATGGATTGAAAACACGGTGTTACATTTTCTGATGCATGTTGTGCACCATTTAAGAATCATTGTAATGTGTGCCCTTTGTATGCAAAGATGTTTAGTAGTGACATTTGTACCCCTACTGTGAAATCCGATGTGTGTCCCTGCCCCAGGACATTAATGTCGCTTAGTTGACAATTATCAAGTATTGTAGTTCATGCTTGGATCTCCTGCTACTAGTTACATGGTTGAATAGAAGCATAGTGCAACATATCAGGGCTTAATGAACAACAAAGTGTGAAATTTCCATCCTACTTTCTTTCTTTTTTATCAGCCATAATTTTACTTTGGGGAAGAAATGACAATTTGTCTGAACTTCTACAAGCTCGGACCAAAGTCCTGAGGAATCGCCTGGTGCGTGGTGTAAATCTTTTGTCAGACATTTCATTTATTGAAATGGGTAGATGAGAAGGAATACTGTGTCACTGATGCATGAATATTAAGTTTTACTTAAATAACTGCATTAGAAGAATGCATACCCAAATTAACATATGCTTAAGCACTTGTTTTTTATAGTTTTTTTTGTTTGTTTTTTTTGTTTTGTTTTTTGCTTCTGAAGATTGGATGATAACACATGATAAAACATCTGAGAGCCCTCAGGGATATGCAGTATAAAACACAAATATTGAGCACATCCAAACCTGAATATATTTATGTTCATATTTTTGCCAAATGTTCCTGTTAGTAAGATGAATGACAGCTGTTAAGGCTCATTCTATCAAAGATTACATGTGAGATCAATTTAAGCAGCCTTCTAAGCCTAAAATGATTGCTTTTACTTGCACTTACAAGCATGGCAAGTATTCTACCTATGCAGAGGCCTTCCCCAACTTTCCTATGAGGTAGCACTTACATTTTGTGTTTAACATAAAATCCTGTAGCAGTTGCTGAAATATATTGCTAATTCAGGTGTTCCAACAGTTAGCATGAACAGGTAGCACATTGCTTTAAATTGTGCTCCCTATGTGCTATTGATAGAAACCTGCATCATATCTGTTAATTTGCCATGCTAAGCTTTAAAAAATCAGCAGACCATGTTGATGGATCTAGATGAGGTACTGTCATTGAATCCTAAAATTAACTGTTCAAGATACCTGCAAGCATAAGGTGTCAATTACCATTGAACCTCAGCTGTGAAATCTCAGTACATCTGAAGTAGAAATGAGAAAATATCAAGGTTTCAAAAAGTTGTTTTTTGCTTGTTTGTTATCATTCCAATCTGCTTTCAATTTTATGAAGGTATCAAATAGCTGGTATTGCTTAACTTGCTCTGCATATGTTACCTGTAAGTCATGTGTGTTTGTTGTATTTACTTGGTTTTAGTTATTTGCCCAACCTGCTTATAGTTCTGGCTTGAAGCATCAGTTTTGAATTGTAAGGTTTCAGAATTTTGAAAATGCATGATATCATTGATTTTGTGTATGCTCAGACCTTCAAAATTGCCTTATGAGGAGGGAGCTGAAATGATATTTTGACCTCTGGGATAAGACATCCAGTGTTGTCCATTACAATTAATTTTGATCCATTGAGAACTACACAATCTTGATGTGTTTTGATGATGACTGGTGTCACCATGATGCATATCTCATGAATGAGATGTTTGCTTATGGGACATTTTGTGATCATCATTGTATCACCATGATGTATGTCTTATGCAGTTCTCTTATGATTATGAATAATGTAGTTGCTTACAAATGCATTTTTTCTAGGTATTGGTTTTATAAATCTGTGCTCCCTCCATAATTTTGCACATTTATAGAGCCTGTGAATTTGGTAATCAGGGTGGTTGAGTGCATGCTGAAAACAAAAATACCACCTTTAAGACATCATGTTGTTAGTCCTTTTAGCATTATTACGCTGGTTATCAGCATAGCACCAAACCTGTTTACATCCCTTTCTCACATTCACATTCATCTCCAACAGCTGGTCCGACAATGGAGCCGCACAGTGACCTGGAGCGGCGCGCCTCCATCAACAACCTGATCGAGCGTCTTACGGCCGAGCTGGGACCGGACGCCACCGGCGACGGCCAGTACTCGCCGTTTGGTCCGATCCGCGCCGCGCCGCCCGCCTGGCAGCCGGCCGGCGCCGCGCCAGCGCCGCTGCCGCACGCGCTGTTCGGCGGCGAGCGGCGCGGCCTGCACTTCGGCGGCCCGGCGGCACCGTACCAGGCCGACCTGGCGTCGCCAGCCGGCGGCAGCGACGGCGGCGGCGGCGGCGGCGAGCTCGGCACGGCCAGCATCAGCGACAACCTGGCCGCCCACCTGGCCGGCTTCGACGCGCCGCTGTTTGATCCGTGCCAGCCGCCGTCGCCGCCGCCGCCGGCGCACGGCTCCTTCCTCAGCAGCCTGCTTGGCGGCTTGCTGGGCGGCTCGGCCGCGCCGGCGCCCGTCGAGCCGCCGCGGCCGGCGCCGTCCGCGCCGCCATCGGAGGTGAACCCGCCGCCGGCCGCCGAGGCTGCCGCGCCGGCCGCGCCGGCCGCGCCCTCCCGGCCCAGTTACTCAGCCGTGCTGTCGAAGCCGGCGCCGCCGCGCGGCGGGGCGCCGGCCGAGCGCTGTTCGCGTCGCGAGCCGACGGGCCGCTCCCCCGCGGACGCGGAGCCGGCGGCCGGCGGCGGCGGCAGCGGCGGCGGGCGGCGCGGCGGCCGCGGCCACGGACGCCGCCGGCGTGCCTCAGATGCGGAGGCGCGGCCGGCGCGCGACGAGCCGCCGCTGGCCAGGGCGCCGCCCGGCGAGACGCCGGCGGTGCGCGGCCGGCGGCCGGCCGCCCAGCAGCTGGCCGACACCGCCGGCAGGAAGAACAGGGGCAAGAAGGCGGCCCGAGCGGGTGAGGCGACGGGAGACGCCAGCCCTCTGCCGCGGGAGAAGATCGGGAATGGGCTGTCTGCTAGCTTAGGGTCGATAGGACTAGGGATAGATCCATGTACGACATGTTACGAGAGCCTCATACCTCATTTATATCATCACTGGGGTAGGTTTCTGTGCCAGTTATACCTGAGTGTCACTGGTCAGATGTCATTGCGTGTCATCAAGGGGTCAGTAGATCAGTTGCTGAACAACACGGTGCTAATTGTTCATTCTGCGTTCAACCCGCTGTGTGAGCCGTTCGCCATCTAGCGTGACGGCTCCTAGCGAGTCAGATCCTATGTTTTGTTTGGAACACATGAGAGCTTCATGCATGGCTGCTTTGTTAGTATAACTCCGACCCCTCCCCCCCCCCCCCTCCCCCCCGTCCGTCCGTCTATCCAGAGCCTGTACTGGGCGGCGGTGACCTGACCCGCCCCGACCGGCAGCCTCGACGGAGGAGGCCGGGGGTGCGGCCGGCCGGCGCTCTGAAACGCTCAACAACAACCCGGACCGGGTGCAACCGCCTGTCCAGCGGCGCCCACTCAACTACAACAACAACCTGGGATCGTCCTCGACCCTGGGGCCGGCCCAGACGCACGTGCACACGCCGCCGCCGCCGCCGCCGGCAGCCGGTGACCCCAAGAAGATCGACGTCAATGTCGGCAAGCAGAAGAACTGCGGAAAGGCATCTAACGAGACCAAGAAAGTCGGTGAGTGCCCTAGGTTTGTGGGGCGAGGTGGTGACAGGGTTTTGGTGTCTAAATTTCGGGTGAGATTGGGTTGCAACAAATTCGTTTGATCGAAATTGCCGCTACGAGATCACTGACTCTTGACCGCGGGGCAACGTGATGTAGAGGTGTATGCCTACTTGTAGTGGTACGTGGAGAATGAACGATCTGTAGCCTTTTTGGTTTAGAAAGGTCACGTGACATACGAACCATGTTCCAGCTTCTTTGTCATTGTTCGGAACCGTAACCAGCGCGTTCAACCACTATTGGCTCTCCCGTCACGATGAGAACCGCCTCTGGGGCTGCAGACATGACGCTGAGCAAGCCGGACAACAAGACGCTCTCGCAGTCGCGCAGCTCCCAGCCTCTCAACCTGCTGACGCCGGGCGCCGCCAAGTCGGAGCGTGTCAGCAAGGAGCTGACGTTCCGGTCGCGGCCGGGCCGGGCGGCGCGCGGCCGCCGCGGCGCCAGCGACGCCGACGGCGAGCTGCTGCGCCGCCTGCGTGCGCAGCTGGCGCCGGGCGTGGCGCTGCTGTCGGCGCTGCTGGCCTGGCTGCTGCACCTGGTCCTGGACGTGGCGGTGATGTCGGCGCAGCTGCTGTGGCGCGCGGCGCGCTCCTGGGCCGAGGAGACGCGGCGGAGTGTGGGCGGCGCTGCGGCGGCCGTGCGCGGCGCCGTGACGGCCTGGCTGGCGGCGGCGCGCGCCTGGCTCGCCCGGCCGGTCGCCGCCGCCGCCTCGGCCGCCGCGCGCGCCGGCGGTCTGCCGGCCAACATCACGCTGCCGGCCACCGGAGACGAGGCGATGACGCGCCTCCTGGCCTGCAAGAACTCTGACCCATACAGGTGCGGTGGAGCGGGGACGGTGCCGCGCGACCCTGCGCGGCTTTTACAACTCGCTGAGCTGGCTGTCAACTGCTTTCTTAAACACGTGTTTCCGACATTTTTCAGATGTGCTAAGTATTGGCATGCTTGACATAACTCGCACGGAGTGTCTGTCTCTCTCAAACTGGCCCAGGGTGGCAATGATCGTGACAGTAGATGTGCGACAAGACGATGGAAATGATGTTATCGGGGGCTTGTTTTTCCGAGTTTAAGGCGAGTTGTCGGCTCCCCGGTCATCGAAAGACATGTCCGTGCTCTGGCCACAGCCCCCGGCGGCCGCCGCGTGCTCGCCTCTCCCGCCGCGCCGCGCCCGTCTGACCGGCTCCGTGCTCCGGCCGCCGCGTGCTCGCTCTTCCCGCCGCGCCGCGCCCGTCTGACCGGCTCTGTGCTCCCTCGCTTCGCCCACCGCGCCGCGCCCGTCTGACTGGCTCCGTGCTCCCTTGCCTCGCCTGCCGCGCCGCGCCCGTCTGACCGGCTCTGTGCTCCCTTGCCTCGCCCACCGCGCCGCGCCCGTCTGACCGGCTCCGTGCTCCCTCGCCTCGCCTCGCCCGCCGCTCCGCGCCCGTCTGACCGGCTGCGTGCTCCCTTGCCTTGCCTGCCGCGCCGCGCCCGTCTTACCGGCTCCGTGCTCCCTCGCCTCGCCCGCCGCGCCGCGCCCGTCTGACCGGCTCCGTGCTCCATTGACTCGCCTCTCCCGCCGCGCCGCGCCCGTCTGACCGGCTGCGTGCTCCCTCGCCTCGCCGCACCGCGCCGCGCCCGTCTGACCGGCTCCGTGCTCCCTCGCCTCGCCTACCGCGCCGCGCCCGTCTGACCGGCTCCGTGCCCCCTCGCCTCGCCGCGCCGCGCCGCGCCCGTCTGACCGGCTCCGTGCTCCGGCCGCAGTATCCTGGGTGTGACGCACGACTGCTCGGACGCCGACATCCGTAAGTACTACCGGCGGCAGGCGCTGCTCGTGCACCCGGACAAGAGCCGCAGTCCGGGCGCCGAGGAGGCCTTCAAGATCCTGCAGCGCGCCTTCCAGCTGGTTGGCGTACCCGTGAGTCGCCCCTCCCCGCCGCCCGCCGAGTGGGCGCCTGCTCGCCGCGTCTTGGTTGCCAGGGTGACTGCAGATGAGCGTGGTCAATGCCCGTGTGAGGGGGCAGAGGGAGGAACGGAGGCGTGGTGTCAGGGTGGTGCACCCTGGGCTCCGATTTCGCTATCACGGTCACCGTGCGCTGAGCTCGGTTGGAGCAGCAGCGATGAATAGAAATGTAATGGTGGAAAACAACGCGATCAACGATGCTGCCGAATGAGTGTACGAAATGAACAGTTGGCAGTGGATTTTAGTTCTGACAGAATTTCGAGTGATGTTGGTGTTGGTGAATGGCATGTGTAGCCCCTCTTTGTACTAAATTGATTCGGAATCATGCCTGAAAAGAATGCCCCTGTCGTTTGTGCTCTCCTTCAGGAAAGGGTGGCCTGGAACCAGTGCAACGCCCGGCTTGCGATGTGCTGCAGCGGCTCCCTCCTGTCCGTCACCTGACGCTCGGCGGCCTCCTTCCTGTCTGTCATCTGGCGTTCGGGGGCCTTCCTCCTGTCTGTCATCTGGCACTCCTGTCTGCCACCTGACACTCGGCGGCCGGTCTGCTGGCGTCTCCCTCCTGTCTGTCACCTGACGCTCGGCGGCCGGTCTGCTAGCGTCTCCCTCCTGTCTGTCACCTGGCGCTTGGCGGCCGCTCTGCTAGCGTCTCCCTCCTGTCGCCTGATGTTCGGTGGCCGGTCCGCCAGCGACTCCCTCCTGTCTGTCGCCTGACGCTTGGCGGCCGCTCTGCTAGCGTCTCCCTCCTGTCGCCTGATGTTCGGTGGCCGGTCCGCCAGCGACTCCCTCCTGTCTGTCGCCTGACGCTCCCTCCTGCGTGTCACCTGACGTTCGATGACCGGTCTGCCAGCGTCTCCCTCCTGTCTGTCATCTGGCGCTCCCTCCTGTCTCGCCTGACGCTCCCTCCTGCCTGTCACCTGACGTTCGATGACCGGTCTGCCAGCGACTCCCGTGACCGTCCCGCCTCTTGCCTGGCCCCAGGAGAAGCGCCAGGCGTTCGACTCGGAGGCGCGTGAGGAGCACGAGGTCAACGAGGCGTTCCGCCAGTACATGGACGAGATGATGACCCGACTACGCGAGAAGATGGAGGAGACGCAGAACACGCTCAGGTGGGTCTCCCGCGGTCGCTGGCGGCCGTGCAGTGCGGCGCCGCGCGCCAGCTCAGGTGGCGTCAAATCCTATTGGTTTCCGATCGGGGTGGGTGGTTATAGCAGTCTCTGAAGGCGTGTTGTAGATCAGGGGCAAGCTGTTATGATGTCAAGCAACAATCAGTTAATTCACATGCCATATCACAGCTGCTGCATGCTGAATTGCAAACATGGGGTGCTTTTGAGTTGGAATAAGTCTTGGTTGGGATATATGACCGATTTGGGATATATAACAAATGTTATGTATCACCTAAGTTGGAGATCATGAGAGGGCTGTGTTCGTCACAGGTGAATTTCATGACGTTGAAGTGCGCTGCGCTATAACTGCTCGCTGCCAGCTCTTTGTTTTCTTCCGTCAGTATTTTTCTTCAGCGTCACAGAGTTAATTCGGACTTCCGTATTGCTACCTATGTGCGTTTTTCCCAGTCACGCTGTTTTCCGCATGTTAAGTTATCCCATAGCCGATGATCCCACGGCTCACACTCGTGGCGGCACGATGCCGCGCGCGGTCCAACCGGTCAGAGATGTGGTGACGTGGACGGCGCGCTCACCGGTCGTGACGCGCGTCGCGCTCCGCCAGGTGTAACAACTGCAGCCAGCGTCACCGACGCACCAAAGTGCCGCGGCCGGCGTACGCGGCGCGAGACTGCGCCACCTGCAAGATCCGCCACGCGGCGCGCGAGGTCAGGGCTCGGCTGCACGGCCCCCGGCCGACGCTGCACTGGTGGTGCGGGCGTCTCGTGTGTGTCATTGGACGGCGTATGAACGTCGGGAGGAGAGCTGGTACAGGGTTTGGGCGCCAGAAGGGGGTTGGCACAGGGCATGGGTGTCGGGAGATGCCTGGCGCAAGGCTTGGGTGTCGGGATGGGGGCTAGCTCAGGGCTTGGGTGTCGGGAGGAGGGCTAGCTTAGGGCTTGGGTGTTGGGGGGGGGGGGGGGGGAAGGCTAGGGTTTGAGCGTCTGGAGGGGGCTGGCACAGGGCTGGATGTGACGCGTCGGCTGTAATGTCGTCAGCGCTGACGTGTGCACGCTTCCGCAGGGTGACATCTGGGCCGAGAGCAGTTGGCTGGGCATGTTCTGGCGCTACTACGCCTGCATGGACGGCGCGGTGTTCGACATCAGCGAGTGGGCCGGCTGCCAGGCGCAGAGCCTCAAGCACCTGCAGGCCAACCACCACACGGTTCAGTACCGCATCATCTCGGGTGCCAAACGGCACCGCCAGCCCGTCGACGAGCCCTCGTAAGTGGCGCCGGCCAAGACGCACCGCCTTGGGCAAAACTGCTGGCAACAAGGCAGCGGCAATCAGTGTGCGTTTGTGGTGTTGGTTCTGTGGGAGGATGCCAGCTGACCTTATAAGGGTTCTCTCGCCTGTCCTAGGACTGGGTGGCCGCTGAAGCTGCGTGCAGGCGTCTCCGTGTGTGTGTGTGTGTGTGTGTGTCTGTGTGTGTGTGTGTGTGTGTGTGTGTGTGTGTGTGTGTGTGTGTGTGTGTGTGTGTGTGTGTGTGTGTGTGCGTGCGTGCGTGCGTGCGTGCGTGCGTGCGTGCGTGCGTATGTGTGTGTGTGTGTGTGTGTGTGTGTGTGTGTGTGGCCGGCGTCGTGCTGTGTTCCTTGGCGGCCTCGCCCGTCCTTGCAACCCTCGCCCGCCCGCCGCGCGAACCGTGCGCGGTACGGTAAGACGCCGCGGTTCGGGACGTCTACCGCGATGGCTGTCGCTGTCCGAAGCACGCGGTGGTCGCGGACGTCGGCCGTCCCCGCTTGAGCGAGCGCATCTCCCGTTGCAGTGACCGCGACCTGGAAGACCTGCTCAACAACCTGTGCAGCGGCTCCATGGGCGGCGAGCAGCAGCAGGGTGGCCGGCGGCGCGCCTCCAAGCGCCGTGGCCACTAGGCGGCGCCGCCGGCGGTGTCGACGCGGACCAAACCAGAGCCAAGTGCCGTTTCGGGAAGGTCGGGTGACGTGGCCTCGCGCAGGGTCTCTCGCGCCGGCCGTGCTAGTGAGTGTGTCTTCCCGTGTTCTGTCGCTCGTGCCTGGAGCGGTAGTCGCGCGCGCCAGGCGGCGAAGGTCGGCTCCGGGAGTGTACCGCTGGCGGGTGCGATCGCCGGCTAGGAGTGCGGGACGGCGGAAGTGTGGCGTGAGCGCGCTGACGTCAGCGTCAACGAAGTCCTCCGGGGGCGAGACGTGTGGTGTTGGGACTCCTAGCGTCTGACGCCTGCTGCGAGACCAGCCGGCCGCACGCCAGACCCGCCCTGCGGCTGATGCCGGCGCCGGCGCGGCGGGCCCGGCAGGGCGGCACGCGCGGGACGGGTGAATGCACTGCCGGAGCCTGCTGATGACGTCATAGTACCACACCGGCGTGCAGGGACATGGTAGCGTCGCGCCGGCGTTGCACTGCCAGAGCTCGCTAATGACGTCACAGTACCACACCGGCGGACAGGGACACGGTGGCGTCGCGCCGGCGCTCAGGGCCACTGGACAGTGTGACGTCCGTGCACACCCTCGCACCCTACAGCAGCACACACCGTACGGAACACTTCTGTCGACACTACTGTACTGCCCCCGTGTCGGAGGATCCCACTTTAGGACATGGCTAAAAAAAGACTACTGAAAAGAGCTGTGTTGGCAGGACGCCTGCCAAACTCACTCGCGTGTTCGGGATACGGGGAAGCACTGCGCTCGCTTCGAGCGTTTGCGAACGTCGCGCACATGGGAGTGGAATGCTTCTGTACTGCAGGCGGTGCAGAGGGTGGCCCAGTCGCCGTGAGATGGTGACCGTGATAGGGGGCTGTTACTGGGGAGGTGGCGAGAGCTGACGTCTTTCACACACGCCCGCTTGCACGCGCTGGTCTGGGCTGGGGGTGACGGTATCGGGAGTCCAGTGTGATGCATTGGACATCGGGCGCGGCTTCGCTGACGTATTAGCTTGGGGCTCCAGACTCGTCTCAATCGGTCTTGTGTCGTGAGTTTTGTGAGTCTTCCTCGTTTGCCGATTATCGCGTTGTTTTGCGGCCTAGTTTGTTCTTGACATGTGTACGTGCGTTGTGGGTGGCGTCAGGTCTCTTCTCGTCTCAAATGCTTCCTCTCGGGCGTGTTTAGGCTCACATGTTCATTGACTATTAAGATGCCAACTTTTCGTTTGGTATCCGTATTGCTGAGACTGGGCACGCGCTGGTTTTACGTTGGGTGCGTTTGGCGACATCACAAATGCTGTAATATTTTTGATTTCCTTTGTGTCGCGCAGTTCCGAGGATGGTCCCAGCACGGATTAGTTAAGCTGTCTGCTATGCAGGAACTAGTATTCAGTGTTGGTGTAAGATGTTCGCACGGAAACGGTTTGGAATACGTCATTTCCTTTTCGACCGCCGCTTGCAGATCTATTTTGTTTTCGCTTGCCGCCACCTTACTGCAACGAGAGCACAGTTTTTCGGACACCACGTCCAGAGTCGCACGCTATGTGACTTTTTAGGGGATTCTTCGAACGCCGTCGAGTTTGGTAAAGTGCTCCAGTTTCTGCGCGCTATAGATTTCCCAGTGATCTTTTCATCATGATGCTAGGCTGATTACCAAGGCTTTATAGGGTGACCTGGTTGATGCACTTTTCTGATTGACGCCCCTGCATAAATTGATAGTTATGGGCGCTGCATGACCTATAGCAGTCGATGCGCCCTAAAACCCCAAATCATCATCATCATCATCTATTTTGTTTAACATCCCCACATGCTGCCCATACCGTTATTTTGGCTACTCATTGGACGTTTAGCCTTCTGCCATGTAGCTTGCGGTCGGGGACATGCTTTTGTCAGTATGAGAAGGCTTTCAGTTCTATACAATACAGATATGCAATGACAAACTGCATAGTTGTCTCAGAATGTAGTTGATTCGCTCCACATGTTTTGGGTGGGTCTGAGCCTCCGATCACAGCTTTATCAGAGCGTCGTTTATGCTCGAGCCAAACAGCCCGCCAACGTCATTCACCCGGAATATCATGCAAGCATAAGGAATGCAAGGAGGGAAAGTGCCGTTGATTTATTCAACATGCGAGTGGACACTGACATTGATCACCGCACGGCTGTTCGGCTGTTCAGCTACTTGAGTCAAGAAGGGTCGATAAGTGCAGTGGCTTGAGGATGCATTTTTCGTTCACTCAAACCCGCGAGTGAAAAGGTTGCCCAAATAATTGGGTGGCATAGCTTCTGATGGCCACAAACGGCCCCTCTCTTCGGCACAGCGCAACTGCCACACGACCGTGTCGCCCTAGCACGCGCTCGGGTGGGGGATCAAGTTGACCCCACCCCCTCCCCCCAAAGGGTTCTCCAAAGTGGTTTCCGAACGGCGCGGCTTAGCCGCGCCATATTTTGTCCGGCTGTAGAGAATTGAATAGCGGGTCGCTTGGTATACAAAAGTTTGATATAGGTCGAAGTCTGGCCGTGGTTTCAGCGAAGTCAATTTCTAGGAAATCGTTTAATCTGATGCAACAACGAAGAGGTGCACGAAACTATACACATCTGAGGTGCTTTCTTAAGCAGCACAAGTAATGAATGAATAAATTACGTTGACCAATGTTCAGATATGAAGGTCAGACCAGGGTCAAGACCAACCTGCTTTCATTGCTCTAAGCCTTGCTGTATGGGATAGTTTCTGGTGCTCATTTCGAATTTATTGATAACAGGAACCGCATTATACATCTTCCATGGGCTTCGTAGAGGTCAGAATAGGTCACTGACCTAAAATGATCCAGATCAACATTTTGTTTTTAGAAACTCTTCTCAGCGTAATCTTTGTCGCTTATTCAAATGCAAAACTCAGAGCAGTCTTGTACGATTTTTGTCACCATGGGCTCCAAAAGGTCGAACAAGGTCACCGATCTTAAATGAGCATGCGACCTTTTACTTAGAAACGGTTGTCCAGGTTCGGGGGCACTTTGGAGACCAACCTGGAATTTGGCCTTGTTTGACTTTATTTGATCCAAATGTCATGACCAAGGACCCTCAAACTTTGACCTAAGTGAGCTCATGTACAGGTCAACACATCCTGTAAATTTGGTGTTTCTAGCTCTTTTAGTTCCCGAGATCTCAGGGGGCGCGGTCAAACTCACCGCCCACCCCACCCGAGCGAAGGGTATCTAGCCGGCCGCCCGGGTGCGTGTTAACGGATCGCCTGTTGGCTGCTGTGCTTGCTCGAATGGCATGAATAAGCTGCCTGCTAGTGTTACATGGGTTATTGGTACATGTTTATCCTACACGCTACGCAGGTGGCAACCATTTTAATGGTGTGGTAAATACAAATGCTCCCTGACACAGGTAAACGATGCCACTTAGGTAGCGCCGATTTGTCGGTGCGGCGACGCGAATCATGCTGATTTGTTGCCGTTTCTGCACAAGTATGCTGATTGGGTGACATCCAGACGCAAACCGCGCTGATTGACCGGAGGGCCCCGACGCGCGAGAGCTTCAATGGCTTGGTGTAGAACCGACTGCGCAACGTTCCGGCACATTTCACAGACGGTGTCTCGACTAGACGTCCCCATCGCACAGCCTCTCCTCAGGACCAGCGCCTTCCACCGATCAAGGCGACAAGGCCCTCCCTGACACCCTCTGCAGGTCTTCGAGCTGTTCTCCACGTGCGTCCGCGGCAGCAGGGATTACTGCTTGCTTTCACCCGAGTCGTCCTGGTTCTCGTTATCACCCGGGCTGTTCTGAGCAGGGGCGGCCGCCGGCGGGCGCACTGGTGGCACAGAGTTAGCACCTGTTACTCGTCCGCATCGATATGCAGAAAATGGCGAGGCAGACCCGGCAAAGTGCTAGGTATGTTGGATGGAGGGGATTCTTGTCGGTTATCTAGTAGTTACGCAAGGTAGGCGTGGAACAGACCACCCCCAGAATTAACCGAAATATAGAACGACGGCGTCTTCGTGCGTTGTATGCACATTTGTCCGGATGTCTGCAAATTTCTGTCCGAGCTATCAAAAGCTTTTTCGACCACACTCATGCCTAATGCGTTTGAGCAACGTATGGCTTTAGCCGGTAAAGTCGGTAGTCAAGATGGCCGGCGCGCTACCTGCTGGGTCACACGCGGGGAAGGTGCTTACCTCGACACGCGCCCGGCCTGACGGTGACGTCATCGAGGGCGAAGCCGCGGTCGCTGGCGCTGCCCTCGAACGTGACGCGGAAGCGACCGCTGTCGGCGGGCACAGCCGCCTCGCCGTTCAGCCACGTCATGCGACCGGCGTCGGCATCGGACGCTCGCAGCGACCACACCTCGCGCTCGTCGGCCTCGTCGTCGGCGCCCTCCCCCGCGTCGTCCTCCGTCGCCGAGACGAGCGAGTAGAGCACGCGCAGCCGCGCGGCAGACGAGTGCGAGATGGTCGCGAACCAGAAGCGGACGCAAGCGCGCTGCTCGCGGCCGTCGCCGAGGTCGAGCGGCGGTGACTGCAGACGTAGCCGCACCCGCCGGTCCTGCGGGCTGTACACGTCGAAGTAGAGGTAGCCGGTGGGCGCGCGGAATGTGTGATCGGCGAGCAGGAGCGGGCGCAAGAGCTCGCTCGCCGGCCGCCAGCGCTGCTGCGTCTCCGAGTCGGAGGTGGTGTTGCGCCAGCCGCACGAGCCCTGCTGGAAGTCGCATTCGCTGGCCGCCGCCGCCGACTGCGCCGGCTGCTGCTGGCACGCACCGTTTAGCAGGATGATGTCGTCCAGCGCGATCGTGCCCTTGGTGCTGCCGCCCCACGTGCCTTCAAACACGATCTGGGGAGGGGTCATTGTCGTTTTATTTTTTTGGAACACTCACCCCGTCAAAATGCTCATGAAGCGCGCTCTGTGTGATCAGGCGTGTAGCCAAGATTTCACTGAGGGGGACAAAGTTTTTCAGAGGAGCCGTACGACCTGGGAGGTAGGGTTCGTTCTGGGTCGAAGTTCGCTTTTGTTACCAGATTTCCGCACAGTTATTTAAACGAAGCACCATGGCAGACCAGGAAAACCACTCAACTGATCCAGGGCCACAAGCCGTTCCTGAAAGATGAAAAAACAATTCAGGATTGTTGAGTTCCATTTTCTCTAAAGTTATATTCAATGTCGCCGTTCGGGCGCCTGGGCACTAGAAGAAAGCTAAAAAATTAATTCAGGGTTGTTAAACTTACGTTTCTCTTAAGTTGTATTCAATGTCGTGCTTTGCCCGCCCGGGACCCTAGGTTTGCCTTCAGACAGCACGGACGTCGAATCCATTTTCTAGTTACGAATTCCTACGCGCTCGCTTTCTCCTTAAAAACCCCGCCGCTCGATTGGGCAGAACTGACACGGCTGCCCCCCCCCCCCCCCCCCCCCCCTCCCTCCAGCCCACCTCTCCAGCTGCCGTACCTTGTAGTCGCGCGTCATGGTTACGGGCGCCTGCCCCAACAGCCACTGCGGCTGCTGAGCGTTGTTGAGACGCCACAGCTGCACCGTCTGCTCCTTGCCTTGTTCGTCGGTGTATACGGCCGATGCCCTGAGGCTGCCCAGCCGGGCGCCCGCTGACCGGGGTACCAGCTCGTCCATGTAGTACCTGCATAACAAAAACAAATATTCAGACCATGACTCACGGTGCTGGGAAGGACTGTAACAAATTCGAGTGATTCGAAGTGAAAACCATTTTTATTTTCAATTCATCGTACGCGTTGCAATGGATTTCAGGGCGCTGCTAATGCAAGTTTTGAGTCACACGAGGGGAATTAGATAACATGTTCCTATTTTAGACTCCATGCTGCTATCTTTTCGCCGGTTCTCAGCACGAAGCTCAGCGTTTTCCCAAACTCGCTTATCTTGGCTTCAGAATTACCACCGCAATGGCTCGTCATGTCTCTTACCACCACCGCACTCTACAACAGCTTCACCTCTCGCCAAAATACCCCACCGTCCCCATCCCTGGTCGTGACATGACCTCAACCAATCAGCGTGCCCCACGTCGCCCTGCTGTCGGCCCACGGCGGCTCACCAGAAGGTCAGGCACTTGGCGCGTTCGCTGCCGGTGACGGGCGGTGAGGCGACGCTGCTGGTTTGTCCCGGCCGCTGCGGCCCGCTGTACACCAGGCTCATCATGTGGCCCGAGGGCAGCCGGAGCGTGTGGTCGGCGGCCGGTAGCGCGCCGTTGGCCGCCGGCACGCGCTCCCAGCCGCGCCGGCGCAGCCGCGAGTCAACCTCAGAGCTTGTCCAGCCGCAGTCGTCCACCTGGCGGCACAGATGTGAACTAGAGGTGGCTCGGACGGGCGCAGCCGTCACCTAGTTGGCAAAGACGTGAACGTGGCATGATAGCGATGTCATCAACGATGGCATAATAGAGGGGAAGAATCACAGGCAATGTGAGGCGAAGACCTACGTGAACTGCAGTAAGCGGTTGTCCGACTGGATTCTTCCCTGGGTGGATCCAGGACGCCTCTGGGGGTGCGATGTCGACTTGAAGGTCGATTCAGTTACGTTATCCTTATTTTTAAAGTCATCGAATTTCATCTCATTTGCTTCAATAATCATTCTAACACGAAATTTTCCCAGTTAAAGTGGCCCAGACTGTCTTCAGAGTTCAGGCGTGTGCCAACCTTGTCCCACTTTGGCCATCATCGAGGAGGCAGTGGCGTCCCACCCACCCCCTGGATCCAGTCATAGCTCTATCGGAGGCGTGTCTGACCCTGCCTACCTCGAAAGTGCATCCGATGGTCTCGACAGCGGCCACCTGCGGTGCCGCGGAGCACAGACCCGGCATCAGCGACACGTCGTCGATGGCGATGTCCCCCAGCCTCGTCGCACTGAGCTGCGCCTCGATCGCCAGCTGCCGGCAGGTGGCACTAGAGTAGGTTGTAGGTGGCGCCGTACCAGTCACCCCGTGCAGCAGCCGGGTCTTTGGCGGACCGGAGTATAAACAAAACCAGCATGACCTTTTGCGATGTGACTTTATCAATCTACTACCGCTTTGTTTGTTTTTTTCATTTATTCATTGTGCCTTACACAGGTGGCTTTGGGTTTAGAGTAAATGCTCACTAGGCGGAGCTGGACTGTGAATACTCCAAACCCATCGCCCGAGTTGTGCCGGCGCAGTATTACGACTGGACCGTCCTCCACCTGGCTAACGTTCATGGCTCAGCCGTCAGCTGACCTTTCCATGCCAGTCAGGAAAACAATGCGGCCTTCCGCGATCCGTGCCCAGTGCCCCTGCAGATCCAGCGTCTCTCCTAAGCCGCGGATACGGCAGGTGTTGATATTAATGCGTCAATTTTGCTACTACTCCATTTCCCTCATCGACAGTGGCGCCTCGCGCGCTTGAAATGGCCACAGAACGTATGCTGGATGAGCAAGCAGGATGTTTGCACCAGAAAACGGGGATTGTTCCGGATTTCCCCCGGCGGCTTTCTATATACGGTCCAACAAGCCACAACTCAGCCAACCAGTTGCACCGTCCGGAATTAATTTAAAAGAGTAGCCTGAAACAGAGCCGAGTGCTTGCATGACAGGCATCACGAGGGCTATGTGTCACGCGAAATGCATGCACTGTCATCATCAACACATGTCCTTTATGTACGTCGCGGCGAAAACGCCCTCACATTCATGTTAATTTGCAAATAAACTGCTATCGCGGCTGCGCCGGATGGAAACGCTCCCGGTCCAGTTTCCTGCCACCTCCTCACTCACCGTGAACGACCTGTCTGCCGCCACAGGCACCTGCCCCTGGTACCACTGTTTGCCGGCCGAGCCAGAGAGCCGCCAGAGCTCCGTCTCCTCGTCACCCTCGAGCCGTAGCACCCTGAGCGTGCCCACGCCCGAGCCGAACATGTAGGTCCAGAAGCGGAAGCAGAGCGGGCCGTCGGCGCCGGTGGCCGGCAGCTTGGGGCTGAGCAGACGCGACCGGTCACCGGGCTGACGCGGGAAGGCCGAGTTGGCGAAGGCGTAGCCGCCGGCCGTGCCGCCCAGCACCTCGCTGCCGTGGTCCTGCCGGCGGGCGGCGGGGCGTGAAGGATTGGGGAGGACGTAGGGTTTACCAGTGGTCTCATTTGTGTTCTACTGGACAGCGGTGTTGATCACTCCCTATCCCACGATCATGCAGGAAACGATTGACTTTATTTGTTGAAGTGATGGCATTTGTTTTACGTTAGCGGCACGGAGCGCTTGCCACCATGCCATTGTACCTAATAAATAAAATCGCACGATTTTCCGTTCGACAGATAGCAGCTTACGGGTGTTTTGAACTTGTCCCAAACTATTGATTACAGCCTCTTGATCAATAGTGAATAAAACTATAACTGATGAACCTCTGGAACGTTCTGAGACCGCCCACTCCACCTCGGCGTCTCACAAATTCTGCGCCTCCGTGCGTCGGCCGAGCGTACCGTGCGTCGGCCGAGCGTACCGTGCGTCGGCCGAGCGTACCGTGCGTCGGCCGAGCGTACCGTGCGTCGGCCGAGCGTGCCGTGCGTCGGCCGAGCGTACCGTGCGTCGGCCGAGCGTACCGTGCGTCGGCCGAGCGTACCGTGCGTCGGCCGAGCGTACCGTGCGTCGGCCGAGCGTACCGTGCGTCGGCCGGGCGTACCGTGCGTGGTCCCGTCTTTGGGGTGAGGCTGCCACGGCTGAGCGTCCATTGGAAGTCGTCGCTGTCGTCCTGGCGCCAGCCGCAGAGCCCGCCGTCGAAGGTGCAGTGGCCTCGGCAGGCGGCGCTCCTGACGGCCCTCACCGCATCGACGGCGACGTGGCCGCGGTACTCGCTCTCCGGCAGCCGGATGCGCGGGATCGCCTCAAACACCAGCTGGCGCCGAGCGGTGGCAGTGTCACGGCAGGGACGCACGGGGTCACGGCAGGAACCACAAGGTCACGGCAGGGACCACCAGGTCACGGCAGGAACGCATGGGGTCACGGCAGGGACGCACAGGGTCACGGCATGGACGCACAGGGTCACGGCATGGACGCACAGGGCCACAGTGGGGACACACGGGATCATGTTGTTTTGAAAAAGACCCCCGAGACGAACTTGACGCTTTACCGATATCCCCGAGTGTAGCATGGGCCGGAGTCCATACGTTCACACGTCCGCGCAGAACAGGTAAAACGCGATTCCGTGGACATAAACACAGCATGGGCACGGGCTCCAGTGACGTAGAGTGTGGTGCCGATGGTGATTACCGCAGTCTGCAAACAGCTTTGGTGTACGATCTCCCACTTGCCCTACCCCAACATCGCACTCGCCCATATCTATCGGTCGCGGCTGTTTTCGCTATCGTTCAGTCTCTGCCGCTGGGCGGAATGAGAAGGGAAGGCTGAAGTCTCCACGGCCAATAGCACCGCTGACCTTGTACTGGCCGCCGTAGCTGTAGAGCAGCATGACCTGTTGCCAGCCCTCGTCCGACTCGGCGCTGCTCCAGAGCACCAAATCCTGGCGGTGATCCGCCGGAGCGCCCTGCTTCTCCTCTTCGCCGACAGGGTGCAGCACCAGCCGCAGCCGGTCGGCGCTCAGGCCCAGTATGTTGTATTGGAACCTGGCGGAAGAGCAGCGGCCCCAGTTACAAAGAACATTGCACTTACTTGCTATGAATACATCGCCGCGCGTTCTCTTCTCGGGGAGCTTAGGCTAACATTTCAAACGAATTGTTTTTTCATGAAATATACTAGTTGGCAACGGAAAACTTTGCATCTTAGAAGCAGCATTTCACTGCGCTGATGGTTTTGCTCTGATTTAACCAGATTTTACCAGCAGTAAGTTGCGTATTTATTTAACATGTAACCTCGATCGCATCGTAAAACCTGGTTGCCGAATTCTGAGACTTTTTTACGCATGCTTGAAGCGACTTTGGTCAACAGATTTAATCTAATTTTTGTGTGTGGGACGCATGTGAGCTGGAGTGAGTCTAGAGCGTAAGAGCTTGGTGGATATTGCATGCGGGAATGCACTCGCCTTTATTTCCACGCTTCTGCAGCTCAAGAATTTCCCATACGACCGCGTTTGGCCCCGGCGACCACCTACCGGATGCACTGTCCGCCGGCTGGTGTCGGCGGCCGCAGGGGGCTGCGCAGCAGGGCCGACTCCGTGTTGACACCGCTCGAGCGCTCCGGACGATGAGACGTCTCGAAGAGCGCGTACCCGCCTGCCGAGACATGGTGAGATTGGTCGGAGGGCGGGCACGTGGAAGCAGTGGGCATGTGTCGTTCTAGTGTGCGGATGCTTGTGTTCCTATCTCTCTTCCCCCTTGCTCCAACCGTTCTCCGACTTCGACTACCGCAGCCTCTTGCCCAAAAACTCCCCATTCCTTGTCCGGGCCCCTTTTCCACGTCCCAGAGCTTTTTTCTCGTCTGCTCCCTCCTGTCCTCACCGTCCTCGCTGTCCTCGGCGTCCGCGTGCGGTCCTCCCAGCCAGTTGCCGAAGCGGCCGGTCGTGGCTCGCCACGTCAAGGTCGACCCCTTCTGGTTGGTGTAGTCGCACAGGGTGGCTTCGTCAGCGCGGCCAAAGTCACATTCCAGGCTGCCTGCCGACGTCAGGAATGAAGCTTACACATCTGAGCTAGTTGTCAGTGATGCCTGCAGGTTATGCTGCGGTCACAATGCTCATTGCAGCACCGGCTCCGAGCCCGTGACGGCTGACTAATTATGCTGCTCGACGTCTCGACGTTTATGTTGCGCATTAATTGATTCCATCTACCATTTAGCTTGATTAGCAAGCTGTAGCTGAAATCAATTTTAACAGGGGTGGCGCTGGTGATAACCGACATACCCGTACCTTCCTGATCCGAGCCCGCCACTGGCCTGGTCGGACTCCCCTGGAAACAAGGACAGGAGCATCTCAACTTTTGGCTCACAGATCAACAAAATGATTTCTGTATCAAACAATGTCGTACCACACTTTCGAGTAAACGCCCCTGCAGATCAGCTGGGGACTGCTGACAGCAGACTGCTGTCTGCCGCTGGTCCCGCCTGGTCTGCAGGTACCGTGATGGCGTGATGGCGTCTGCAGGTACCGCGATGGCGTGATGGCGTCTGCAGGCGGCGTGATGGCATGGGTCACTGCCTCCAGACCGCGCGGCGTACCCACGGCATCGACCGCGGCGGGCAGAGGCCTGACGTGCTGGCCACGGCCGCGTTCCCACACAGCACGCCCACGCATGACCATTATCGTCCATGGGGTGCGCCCTGTACAGACCGCCTACTCCAGGGTCAATGAACCAAGCGGTCGTCTGCGCTGTCTGCACGCGGCCTGGGCGGGGTACGCGTGGGATGTGGTGACTCTCACGGCATCAGTCGTCAGGGATGGTGCCTGAACACCGGCAAAGGGGACACTCTTAAGGAAGATGCGGCCATTGTCTGGGTAGCTGGTGACTAGGTTAGCTACCAGCGGCAACCTAAATTCACCAACTTGTCTGATACCGGTCTGGCTTTAACCGTCGCGCTGACATGGCTTTCTGAGCCCCCCCCCCCCCCCCCCCTCCCCCTCCCCCTCCCCTCTCCCCGTTAGGCCAGCTATGTGTGTCACGGTCCGGTAATAGAGCCACCGACCTTGAACTTTTAACGAAGTACAAGCATCCTGTTGACGCGCCACCGTCACCTATGCTGAAACCCATTTCGATACGTGCAGCAGTGCGTTCACATTGTGCTAGATCCAGGGCCTTGGCGTTGTGCGCGGCTCGCGCATCTCGCACTGCAGCGAGCTCGTCAACACACGCGCATCCAGCCGGCACGGGCCGCCAGTTTTGGCAGGTGGCTCTGTTATTTGGGGACGGAGTCTATTGTTTTTGATGGTTTGTTTTTTATTGAATATTGTCTCCCAGCGATTGATGAGATCCAGTGAAAGATGCACGCAACGATTTAGGTACGAACGCACGTGATGGGCATAATGGGCCGGCGATCTGCACACCCTCATGGAGTGCGCTGCGGCGCCCAGTGGCGCACGCCTAAGGTCTAAAGTGCGCATCGTAGCTGAAGTCCTGGTGGCGGCCAAAGATATCATGGGGAGTCTGTTTTGGGTCAGCAAGGGATATGCACCAAGATAGCTAACCTTCAAACGCAAACTCCTTAAAAATGCATCTCAGGTATTCTAATGCCCATGAGTTGTGATGCCTAGGCTTTCGACTCAAGTGATGTTATCTGTCTTATGTTATAAGCGAAACATGTAGCGTGTGGCGGTGAAAGCATTGTCGGTCGGCCACCTGCAGCAGAGGAGCCTTAGTCGTGACGGCCGCTGACCGCCGAGAATCATCATGTACGAGTGTACCCGTCTATGTAAAAGAAACGTGATTCCGACATATTCCCAGCACGGAATGACGCCTCTTTTACAAAGGTGGGTCATGGTCTGTGCCAGCCTTCTGGTGATGAGGCTTCCCAAAAATGACGTCACTTCTCTGCGAGCGCATTACATATTTAATGGTTCAGTCTATCTCCAACGGGCTGACAACAAAAAACGAAAAGCATTGCAATCGGCTATTTATAACAGCTTTCACCCAAGTGCATGGTCATTCTTATTTTACTACTATTATATTACCATATTATTTGTATTATTATCATCATCATTATAACGCTAAATGTCACGATAAAAGTACCACGAAATGTGGCCTTACAAATCCAAAGCGTCACCTGTAAGGAGGCTATTGAGCTAAGAACTCTAATGACAAGAAGCTATCGAAACCGTTAAACGACGATATCGTTGAAGCTATCTAAATCGCCAGTGATAGCCCCTCACACTTCCAGTGAGAAGCCGTCCAAGCTGGCAGTGAGAAGTCCTTCCAATCGTCAATGGAATTTCGTCTTCCCTGTCAGCGGGTGACTGAAGGCCCACCCCTATGGCGTCGCCTCTCGAGCCTCCGCCCGCTCTTCGCGACAGTCTTGAGCCTCGTCCGTACCCTGTTCGGTGGTGTCGGGTCGGCTTGTACATCGTTCAGTGACGTCGGATCGGGTCCGTACCTTGTTCAGTGGTGTCGGGTCGGTCCGTATCTCGTTCAGTGACGTCGGATCGGGTCCGTACCTCGTTCGGTGACGTCGGGTCGGTCCGCATCTCGCTCGGTGACGTCGGATCGGGTCCGTACCTTGTTCGGTGGCGTCGGGTCGGTCGGTATCTCGTTCAGTGACGTCGGATCGGGTCCGTACCTCGTTCGGTGACGTTGGGTCGGCCGGTATCTCGTTCAGTGACGTCGGATCGGGTCCGTACCTCGTTCGGTGACGTTGGGTCGGCCGCTATCTCGTTCAGTGACGTCGGATCGGGTCCGTACCTCGTTCGGTGACGTTGGGTCGGCCGGTATCTCGTTCAGCGACGTCGGATCGGGTCCGTATCTCGTTCGGTGACGTTGGATCGGCCGCTATCTCGTTCAGTGACGTCGGATCGGGTCCGTACCTTGTTCGGTGGTGTCGGGTCGGTCGGTATCTCGTTCAGTGACGTCGGGTCGTGTCCGTACCTCGTTCGGTGACGTCGGGTCGGTCCGTATCTCGTTTAGTGACGTCGGATCGGGTCCGTACCTTGTTCGGTGGTGTCGGGTCGGTCGGTATCTCGTTCATTGACGTCGGATCGGGTCCGTACCTTGTTCGGTGGTGTCGGGTCGGTCGGTATCTCGTTCAGTGACGTCGGGTCGTGTCCGTACCTCGTTCGGTGACGTCGGGTCGGTCCGTATCTCGTTTAGTGACGTTGGATCGGGTCCGTACCTTGTTCGGTGGTGTCGGGTCGGTCCGTATCTCGTTCAGTGACGTCGGATCGAGTCCGTACCTCGTTCGGTGACGTCGGGTCGGTCCGTATCTCGTTCGGTGACGTCGGATCGGGTCCGTACCTTGTTCGGTGGTGTCGGGTCGGTCGGTATCTCGTTCAGTGACGTCGGATCGGGTCCGTACCTCATTCGGTGACGTCGGGTCGTGTCCGTACCTCGTTCGGTGACGTCGGGTCGGTCCGTATCTCGTTTAGTGACGTCGGATCGGGTCCGTACCTTGTTCGGTGTTGTCGGGTCGGTCGGCATCTCGTTCATTGACGTCGGGTCGGGTCCGTACCTCATTCGGTGACGTCGGATCGGGTCCGTACCTCGTTCGGTGATGTAGGGTCGGGTCCGTCGCCAGAGCCCTCGTCTGCCTGGCGCCGGCTGCGGCTCGCCCCATCCTCGCTCAGCAGTTCGTCCTCCGACAACGAACCCAGCAGCGCCCCCAGGTCCTCGTCCTCTGGCGTGAGCTCTCCCAGCGCCGGCGTCACCAGCAGCGCCGGGAGCAGCGCGGCTGACAGCACCTGCTGCAAACTCGGCCGCATTTCGCCTTGAAACAGGAAAAGAAACGGGTGACAGGATGATGTGTTTGCTGGCCCGTTTCTGATGGTGATTTGCTTGCTTATCGCTGAGTTTGGGTGCAACGTCTTTAGACAGGACACTGCGTAAAGCGACGTCGCATCCTCTAAAGAGGCGGTAGACTTGACTTTGCATCTCCTGCGATCGGTGACGGATTCCCCATGTGTTTCGCTAGGTTTCCTATTCCTGTGGCTACGACGCCACTGACATTCGTCAGTATGGCGATTTGGCTCCAAATGCCTCATTGACTCATGCAGCCACGCCATCTGTCGGCCGCCCCCCGCGGCATACCCGCCGACCCGCCCGCGCGTTTGTGACCGGCCACGAGCGGGGGCGGCGGGGCGGCGCCGCGGGGCGAGCACCACCGCTGCAGGCCGATCAGCAGATAGACGCCGCGGCGCAGGGACACACCCCGACCGCTGCGGCGCCGCCGGCCGCCACCGCAGCCGGAAAAGCGGAGCGGCTGCGACATTGGTAACCTGGAGGCAATCTGCTTTTGTCCAGGCGCAAGCGTGTGGTTTTCTGCGCTAGCTTCTTGTTTGTGATCTCAGCCGGGCGTATTATTCCCTGCCATTTGAAATGGAGCGTGCGGTGGTGGTGAAGGGCATACATGTATCTCACTTAGTACGGTCTGACTCCATTTTACCTGGAACGCTCGATCAGTGAACAGAGCATACCTGCAAGGTGCGGGGATGAAAGTGAACAGGACTTCGGCGGTCCCGTTCACTTGTCCTGCACACTCAGGGCCTGAGAACGGGATGGGAGGGGTGAGTGACGGACAGTCGGCTCCGTTGGGACCTCGGGCTGCTGGCAACCGGTGGGATCGGGTTACTGAAAATGGACCAGTCCAGAGGGTAGTGGCAGGGCCAGTTACTGAAAATGGACCGGTCCAGAGGGTAGTGGCAGGGCCAGTTACTGAAAATGGACCGGTCCAGAGGGTGGTGGCAGGGCCAGTTACTGAAAATGGACCGGTCCAGAGGGTGGTGGCAGGGCCAGTTACTGAAAATGGACCGGTCCAGAGGGTAGTGGCAGGGCCAGTTACTGAAAATGGACCGGTCCAGAGGGTAGTGGCAGGGCCAGTTACTGAAAATGGACCGGTCCAGAGGGTAGTGGCAGGGCCAGTTACTGAAAATGGACCGGTCCAGAGGGTAGTGGCAGGGCCAGTTACTGAAAATGGACCGGTCCAGAGGGTGGTGGCAGGGCCAGTTACTGAAAATGGACCGGTCCAGAGGGTGGTGGCAGGGCCAGTTACTGAAAATGGACCGGTCCAGAGGGTAGTGGCAGGGCCAGTTACTGAAAATGGACCGGTCCAGAGGGTGGTGGCAGGGCCAGTTACTGAAAATGGACCGGTCCAGAGGGTAGTGGCAGGGCCAGTTACTGAAAATGGACCGGTCCAGAGGGTAGTGGCAGGGCCAGTTACTGAAAATGGACCGGTCCAGAGGGTGGTGGCAGGGCCAGTTACTGAAAATGGACCGGTCCAGAGGGTAGTGGCAGGGCCAGTTACTGAAAATGGACCGGTCCAGAGGGTGGTGGCAGGGCCAGTTACTGAAAATGGACCGGTCCAGAGGGTAGTGGCAGGGCCAGTTACTGAAAATGGACCGGTCCAGAGGGTGGTGGCAGGGCCAGTTACTGAAAATGGACCGGTCCAGAGAGTAGTGGCAGGGCCAGTTACCGAAACGGGGTCATCTGGCCTTTACCTGATCATCAGAGGGACCAGGTAGACGCCAGTCACCAAAACGGGGAGAAACTGTTTATAGCGTGTTTGGCATGTATGACTGAGCTGTCAAATGACCTGAGCTATTTTGGAGCGGGGGCAGGCGGCAAGGACACACGGTCAAGTCAGCGATGGCTGCGCGAAGTCACTGATGCGGGCGTTCGCTCGCGAAGTACTAATCCCGAAGGAAGGCCTGATTGCTGTCATCTTGTGTCTCGTGAATGCCCCACAAGCCTACATGCCCTATAGGCAGCCACACCACTCAGGTGGCTGATACCATTACTCAACAGGCAACACAAATTCACTGTCCCTCCACAAGAAATGCTCCAAATGCGTCGCTCAAGCATCTCCCTGCAATCCACCGCGCGGTCAGTAATGTCAGTAGCTTGCAATGCTGATAAGTTGGCCTCACGTTTGTGTGGGAGCACCAGAAGTAGTCCCAAAACCCAGGTAGTGGCTGCTCCCGCTGGCGGCGGAACGCGTGGGGTAACGCAAACTGGCTGTGTGTAAGCGCCCAGTTCTGTGGCATCAGTGGGCGACACACCGTAATGATCAGCCCGCGCCCCGGAGCGCCGGCGTAACACGGGTAGTACATCCGGGGACGGCAGCGGATCCGGCAGCGCCCAAGGCCGTCATCCTCCATCCCAGCGCGGGCCCATCGACCAGCGCGGCAGCTGAAGGTTTAGAGATATGTTATGGTGGCATTATGTGGTTATGGAAAAGAGACCTGATACGGTAGAGCTGCGTTATCGCTGTGAAAAGTGGAACTGATGAGAAGACATGCCGTGCTGCTGTCAATCCGACCTCATTGAAGCTCACATCAGCTCGTACGATTTCCGGAAGAAATGACTGTAAAACAACTAGGTATTCCGGTTGCAAGCAAAGTGACGGGCTTGCAGCAAGTCCTATCCCCACTACCGGAAATTGTCCAATAGAGGGCCCTGAGCGATGATTCTGTCTCCTGCTTTGCGGTTTGTTCTGCGTGAGGCCGCGTACCGAACTTACCTTCACGTCAACTGATCGGCGAATGTTGTGGCTTCGGTGGCCCTGCCCGGGGAGGCTCGTCACACTTCTGACGGGCCTGTGTCTCTGCCATCGCTGATCTCTGCACCGCCATGCAGCGTTTGCCAATAGCAGTCATAATGAGTTCAACAGGTCACGTGTAGCTTTCATGCCACCTATGGTGCCAAACTTCAATGTGTCCTTCGATTAGCAAAACGCACAAATTCCAAACTGTGAGAGAACTGCACGGTATAGACCGGCATTGATCCAGACCTCCGCGATTTAGCATCGCCGTCACATGAGACCGACACCGTTCGACGGAGAAGAGACCGCCTAGTCGTACGGCAAGGCGGGAGTTCAGCCGTGCAGTCCGTCACGTGCCAGGAAAACTAACTTATTATTCTGTTCCCTGGTGCTAGCCAGCCGGTGTCAGATGCGCAGACGGAAACGATAAATTTTGATTAGCGTGCGGTTTATTTGATTGTAGTGAGCGTGGTCATGCAAAACACGAATATTTGGGTGGGAATTTGGCACAGTTGGTTGGAATTTATGTCCGTGCGATTTGCATGACCCAGTCTCCCTCGGTTGAGCTCACTACATGTTTCATTCGATAGTGGTCACGAGGAATGCGGCGCTGCTCGTTCTCCTTCCAATCCCCTCCTGACACCTCCGAACGTGGGGATGTGTGGGGATATTTTCGTATTTCACACTTATTTACATTTTTTTCTTTTTTTAGTACAAACAGTACATCAATTATACTTTTGCGACACCACGAATGATTTTCGAATGCAAGTGGTGTGAGATGCGAGGTCCTAATGGTAGGCCTCAGGTCAAATGTGTGTGTTTTTTTTAATGACAATGTAGTCATAAAAATTGTAGATCACCTGCTAAAGTCGGGTTGCCGAGAACGGCAAACTTACTATTGAACAAGCCACTATTTTTTGGTCTGCCTCTTTGTCTCAAATATTGCTGTGATGTTGCCGTTTTAGGCCGAATGAATCACACGAACTGCCGCAGTTGCGATCACATCGCACCGTTGCAGAATGTGTTATCCTTAGATGAATTAACCAGCCTCGTGACTCGGCTACCCGTCTCTTGGTCCCCCTCCACAGCGTACCACCGGCCCCGCTGTGGACAGGTCAGAATTGTCGCACGGGCCGGACCGGCCCCTCCCTCTCATGGCCCACAACGCCCCCCCTCCCCCCCCCCCGTACCACGTGTCCCGCTGGGGACAGCTTAGAACCTTCCCCGGGCAAGCTGCCCCATACACGCAGTCGGGGTCACGGTGACATCACCAACGTCGGTGACGTCGTCGGGGCGTGGATCGAGGCGCTCGGAGCCCGCCCACACTGCCAGCACGACTGTCGGGGGTCAAGGTGGACCCATCGTGGTCGCTGTGCCTGCTGGTGCCGGGCGCTGGCCGGGACAGTCCAACCATCGTGACTGGGCTGCTCGCACCAGACGCGCGGCACGCTGATCAAGGCTACGCGACCGCGGGGCTGCGGTCTCGAGCCCTTCCGGTCTGCGAGCCCGCCCAGCCGCCATGAGTTGCAGGTCGCCCAGCGGCCCCGCGCGAGTCCAGCGGGGGTCAGACGCCTAACGGTGCAGTGAACACCTGGGGAAGCCGGGGAGGCAGCCGGCGGGGATAACACCTGGGAGACAGCGAGGCAAATGGCGGGACAGCTGGGACAGCTGCCACACAACTGGAACTGACGCCACAGGCGGCGGACCGCGGCTGCCGCCACCAGCCTCATCCTACCCCGGCTGGAACCCGGTCAGCCGTGGCGAGGCCGCTAATTCGACGCCCGTGATCCCAGGTAATGACGGCGGCCCGGCGGACGCGCCCCACACCTGCGGCCGTCACGTGCTCCCTGCAGCGGCTGATGGCCGCCCGACCGCGGGCCTCTCGCGATGTTAGCGGGTGGGGGGGGGGGGGGGGGGCAGCTCTATCAGCGGCCGGGTGTCCCCGCAGGGATTAGCGGAGACGCACGCTGTACATAGGCTTGTTTTTGCTTGAATTTTGTGTTGAGGTAACTAAAAGAAGCTTCCCTTTTATTCAGCATTCACTCTGAGATCAAACGTTCCTGGTCAATCACGCACTACTAAGCCTTGCCTGCCTTCATCTGTAGATTTGCCCATGGTTTGATTAACACGACATTCAGCGAGTCGCTATGGACTGATGTAGAAGTGGTCAAATGCATCTAAAGTGTGACCAACACCTGACGGACAGGGTGTCCACACACGAAATAGTGTGCCGGAAGTCCAGCCAACTAACACTAATCGCTCAGTCCCCTCGGCGCTCCATTTTCACCGTTATTTCCGGAACTGGGGATTGGTGCCTGGGTTGAACGTCCCACGCTGAATAATTAGCATCACAAACAAGCTGATGTAAAGGAAACGAGGCATGGTGTGATTTGCACGCGCAGAAACGAATTGCTTTAAAACGAAGCGTTTTCAGTGTCAGTGGCTCAAATGCTGCAAATCGATCCGTCGCTAGCTAAGAGGACGTCGTCGTGGCGTAACAACTCGTTCAAACGAAACCGCAGGAGTTTGCTGTGCACCATCGCGCGAAAGGACTCTTACAACAGCATTAAGATCATACAGCACAAATGTGGCAACAGACCCTTATACCGACGTCACAATGATGAGGCGGAGATAGGAGCGGACAGCTTGGGGAGACGGTCTCCTTAGTGAGTTCGTTTAGCTTGGCCAAAAAAGCATGATTCCTTCTAACCACGTGTAGAGAGCTCAATTCGCTGAATAGCCCTAATCTTTGTCGCGACCGTTGCAGATCAATGCCAGCCTGGTTTAAAGTATAAATGGCTTTGGATAAGCTTTTCTCATCCTTTTGAAAGTATATGAATCATGCTGACTTGAAATAGTGTTATCTGTGCATAATAAAAAAACGAAACTTATTTTGCTCACAAATAGTCGATTTGAAATCTGTTGACGGGATCCGACGAGCCTACCAAACGAAATGTAGTTTAAAAATGTGCTTCAAGATTTACGGATTAATAAGGCCGCAAGATGTTACAAGTTGGCATCGCGAGGGTTTCGTTTCTTGTTCGGCTTCTACGGCATCCAGGGAAGTATGGTATAGATGACGAGGTCAAACCTGTACATAAACAAAGGTGAAATACGTAGGTAAAGTACGGGAAAAATACATCACAAGCATGCACTCCACCCACCAACCCTTCACGTCTGTGCTTTTGGCAATTTCCTGACTGTGGAGCCTGTTTGTCGTGCGTGGTGCGCTCTGTTCGTCAAGACCCTTGATTGGCCTAGTGACCGTCTGCTTGACTCCACTCTGTTGACTGGCACCTTTGGCTGGCTGCAGCACCCGCAGGTCGGTACCTTTGCCGGCTGCCCAAGATGGCCAGCCGCCTGCGACACATTACTGGCCATGAGGTCATGACCAGGGCGTCACTTTATATAATTCTGAGGGCAGAGCCCCTCCTTCCAAAGCTCCTCTGAGCCCCTCAACGCATGTGAGCAAAGAAGGAATACTGGCCCAAAAAGATAAAGAACAATTATCTTAGCCACTGGTTTGCTAGGTAGCAGGTACCCAAACCAAGCATCATTTTCATTATCATGTTAGTTTTGTGCCAAAAAGTATTTTCAGGTACGTTGTGTTTGTTATGCTAACTCCTTCATGTGTTGAACCAGTCTGAAAATGTTTGACAATTTTTTTTCTTCAAATGATAACGCCGTATTGTGATAAAGAACAATTGACTGCAAAATGCAACAGCTATTTAAAGTACGGGGTGGCCCAGATAAAAGCTAAGGCATGTGTTTCCCAACGGTGGCATGCCGCATAATCTTAGCTGTGGTGGTTATAAAACACGATCAGCGACAGCAGTGGTCACCAGCGATCCCTTAATAAGATTTACTAAGAAGTTTTGTTGTGAGCTTAGCCCCATTATGAGCTTTTCACAACAAGACAGCCCGCAAAAAAACTTGAAAAGGGATGTCATTTCTCTTCAGGGAAGCAATTTGGAGCCTGAGAAATAATTGTTTAATATTTATTTCGGCATTAACATCGAGGAAGTAAATTCAAATGGCCGAAATCCCCGTAAGAAATCAAGTCTTCGGGGCGGGTTCCGTCAACCCTTCCGGACAGGCCACCCAGCAGAGGTTAGAAGGTGGTATCCCTGGTCCTGACTTATGATGAGTTTATGGACCGCACCTCTTAAGCGCGGTCGTCACTCTGCACTACATGACCCGCTGTGCGTAATGCCTGTGATGGCCCGTCCGCGGAGCCTGACTTGTTTCATGTCCCCCACTCGACCCACTGGGCCGTCTCCTCTGCGACAGCTGCTAGTGACATGAACATGTGCTGATGGGATGTGTGCTGGCAGCACAAAAGATGTGCTATGTGGAATGTGTAAAACATGCGCTGGGAGCACAGAGTCCGTTATATTTCATCACGCTTAGTAGAATGATAGTCAAAAAACCGTGCCTCACAACAGGAAGCGTGTTTCCGTGTGTTCCATCGGTCCACCAAAGCGTGAGTGATTCATCACTTATCTGCAACTGATTAAACGAAATTAGCTTTGCAATTACGTGACTAGGGTCTTGCAAAGGACGACACGTCAGTAACACCACCAAAATGTTAAGGTCATCCGCATATGAATTCCCTGCCACGTCGGTATTGAAGGCAACGAAAGAGCAGACGCCGCGGCAAGAGCAGCGGCATGTCGAGATCGGCCCTCCCCATCAGGTCACCGACCTGCTGGTGGGTGACCTGAAGTCGGCAGTTTCCAGGACAGTCGTGACTGGCGGCAAAATGGTTTTGGCAAAATGAATAACGCATTCGAGACCATCAAAACACTGCTTGGAGAATGGGAATAGTCGCATCGGAGTATGAAGTTTGTGGAAAAATCGCCGGCTGCCGCTTGAGCACATGTTGTGACAGTTTTTACATGCTCGCCCTCTTGGCCCGCATTTGCTTTAGATATCTTGATAGCCGTCCAGCCGTATGGGCATTTGGATCGACGTGTGAGGCAGTATTTGAACGACACAGTACAGACTGAGTGACATGCGGATGACAGTTGTTGAGAGGGTGCAAAATGGTCACACAGTCGATGCGCCCTTTAACATTAAATAGTTTAATCAACCAGAGCATAACACCAGGTTGTCTCCTTACCTGAATCGAGAAAGCATTTTGCTTTATGTTATGCATGCACGGATTATTCTCCTTTAATTTCGTTGGAGTTACAATTTTCAACATGACTGTGTTCATCAATCAAAAACCAGGTCAAAAGGTTATCTTTCACCTCCTCTGGCATGCGCTTAAACAGGAATAGGGAAGCCAGTTGACAGCATACAAGCGTAGAAAATTAATTTGTTCACCATGGACCGATGTCATTGTTTCAGCAAGAGTAGCCACCCACGACTAAACGTTTGCGACTGCGCACGTTAGATGTGACGCAGTTATTCACCGATCAAAAGCCTTTTCGCACACATGCCGATATGCTCCAACCAACAATTCAAGTGCGTACTCCAAACAGGATAATTATCTGGCGTACTGAACGACGCGTGGGCAAGCGATCCCGCACTCGCGCCGGGCAGCAGGGGACCGCTGCCGTCTCCAGAGAGCGGCGCGTCGGCCGCTGCGCCGTCCGCGTGCCGACGGTGCGGGTCTGCCTACCTCCGCGCCGGCCGGGCGCGCGCCGAGCAGTCGCCGGCGGAGTCGGCCTGTCCCGAGGTCGTCTGTCCACTGCTGCACCAGGCGGCCCCGTCACCGTCAGCCTGCCCAATCCGGGAGCCGTCACTGTCACCAGAGCGGCCGGTGGATGGTACGCCGCCGCACGCGGAGCCGCACCGAACAGCGCAGGCGGGAGCTGGGCCACGTGTGGACGGACTCGTCACCGTCACCGCCGCTCTCGCTGCTGGCGCCACCGGCCGACTGCTGGCCGCCCCGCCCCCCCCCCCCCTACCCCTCCCCTGGCTGGAATGCGCCAGGCCCGCGGTATCCATGGCGACCCCCGGCGTGTGATGGCCATAAATAATTACGCTCGTTGACGATCCGCGCCAAATGCTATTGTGAGACCCTGTGATTATCACAGCGGGGTGTTAGCTTGTCCATGTAAGTGACACCTTTTTTTAGTAAGCAGAATGCTAGAACGCATTGTCGTATCATGCGTAAACGGCACTTTGAGCAGTATGCGTATCTTTTTCTGAGCGTTGTAATCCCGTATGCACAGATGATACAGCATGCGTGGTGTCAGCGTGTTGTGTTCAACCGTATATGGGTTTTAGAACCCGGTCTGTTATGTAACGTGTCGCATGGGTTCATTGCCCATCACACGTGCGATATTGCAAAATCCATACACGTAGATGCAATATTATAATAACCGGATCCATCATATACGCGGCGTAACAAGAGCGGTCTATCTAAAACAGCAAGCATAATTGATTGGCTCCGTTATAACCGCGTAGACCATGTGTGTTCCGTGAGTCGGACAAACGTTTCCTAAGTCCTGGAAAAAGTGCACGCCCACCCCTCAAATAATTTGCAAGTCCGAGAAATTATTGGATCTCCTCCACATAATTTCAAATATGTTTCTAGTTGTTATGTGATTGGGCACATGTTTGGCACAACCTATTTTCCACAAAGCACGGTTAATGGATATCATTATTAATCTCCCAAATCTATCATCGTTTCAATTTATCGCCGCTTTAGACAAGGCTCAAACACAACCAAGCGGTGTCGTACACATAGGTCAAACAGTTTTTACTGTCATGTGCTACTTGACTGCCATTTTGTGTTATCACTGGCACTTGTGTAAGACACTGGCTAAACCTAGAGATGCGAGACTTCGATTTAGAATGCCGCCGACAAAAAATTAGACTCAGACTTAGACGCAAATTAAGGTGATCTACATCATAAAGGTGGCTATTCCGACCTGTCGTGAATCGATAAAACGCAAATTAAACGGGCAGAGGTGCATACTAAATTCATGCAATCTATAAATGTATGCAAATTAAGAGCATGTACAATACCCGAGACAAACGACATGCACCCAAACATAAGAATATTTTAAGACCAAAGCTATCACAGTAGACCGTCAAAACCGCCTCGTGGATGACTTCCAGCATACTGACACTGGCACTGATTGTACAGCGCGGCCACCCGGCATTGGAGGCGCCGTTTCCCATCTCGGTTCGGGATCTCGCCGCAGGGAGGTTGCCGTCCTGTCCCGCGCGGCGCTCGCGAGTCTCGGGCGCTGTCAATAGCTCGCGGGCGAGCAGTTCGGGCTCGCCGAGGCGGAGCACTTCGTGCACCAGCATGAGGGCGTGATAGATAAATTATGTTGGGCGTCATGCCCGTAAGCAGAGATGCAGCAGCGAACTGCAAAAGGACCAGCAAGAGGACTTTGACCAGTGTGTGTGGACCACAGAGAAGGGCGAGTAGTTTCCCAGGTGTAACGGACCAGACAAAACTACAAGACAACGTGTGATAACAAGAGATATATGGAATTATATCAGAGCATCATCTGAAAGCCTTCCTTTATTGTTCAGTTGCGACTAAGGGTGAAGATCATAGCCCAAAAATCGATGCTGAATTTGTGAACGTTGCACAGATCTGGGTGGCTGCCAACAATTTTAGCTTGTTTTGCTTTTTTTTTACCGTTAGCGCGGAACCAGGCATCAGGAGCAGCCAGGATGTATTCAATTTGATCGGCGATGTTTTGACATTTGTTTACCGCCAACCAAAATATGAGTCATCTGCACATTGAACCACCACTACACCCTTTGCAGAAAGGCTTGGATCATTCGCAGTTACGTAATGCACCAGTGGTCCTACTCCCACAGCGAGTGTCATGAAAAATATCATGCTGTTTGACAGCTTTGGAGCAAATATAGCGTAACCCAGGGTGTCAGCGATGCTAATTTCTGGGTATGACTGGAGGAAGGCCGGAAAACATGAAATGCCGTTCCCATGCAGGCTTAATGTGAACAGGAGGTTTGAATTATGAACCCGTCGAAACATTTGTTCAAATCCAACGAGCACAGGAGCGATGATCCCCCACCGTCATCGGCTGAAAGGATATGATGGATACAGACGTCAGCTCGCTTTCCGTCGAGTAACAAGAACAAAAATCGTGCTGAGTTAGCCCTGGCTCACAGGAGAACTCACAGGACTCACCAGTGCCTGGACAGGAGGTGGTCGTGGGGTGGGTAAGCATAGATCTGCCGATGTACAGCACACTCTATGATCTTGGCTACAATAGGGACCATATAAATGGGCCAGAAGTTGCAAGGACCGGAAGGAGCATCGGGTCTGTGAACTGCACAGACAACTGAGTGTGTCCGGGAGGTGGAAACGTTGGATTTGGATAAGCAGAAGTTGGCTAAACGAAGACATACCACTCCTTCAGCGTAAAAGCGTAGACAGACCATACATATACAGTTGGCGTTCAAGCAAACACAAGCTGACGGTCCATCTATCCCATAGCTCATCATGCGGAGCTCGGTGTGAGTGGCACAGGTGATCATGCGGAGCTCGGTGTCAGTGTCACAGGTGATCATGCGGAGCTCGGTGTCAGTGTCAGCGTCAGGTGTGAGAGTAAATGCTCAAACGCCTACCCGCGGCAGCTCAGACGACACGCCTGGTGTCGCATCCTAATCGGACACCCCGGCAGCTACCTCAGCAGCCATACGAGGACTGACGTTTTCGAGAAAAATTTGCAGTGTATCACGTGGTGCTTAAGGAATCACCTTTCTTTTGGTTTTCCCGCCAACCAGGCTTGCGCTCGACTCGAGCTGAGTTGTGAACTTGCTCACGGGCCAACCGTTTTGGGGTGAGCCGTGAGCTGAGTCAGCTTGTTCGGGAAAAATGGCACTTGAGCCATGGGTTGAATCGCATTCTTCGTAAATTGACGTAAAATTTAAGAGCTGAATCGTGAGCGCAACCTTACTTCTATAATGTTGATTTCTGACAATGTCGTGTCAGTGAGCCATATGGCTCAAATTAAAATGGCAGCATGGGGAGACAAAACGCCGCAGACAAATTAGCATCCATTTCAGAGTGTAAAAATAACAGTACGCAGCATTAGTTATCATGTTTTTTTGCAAAATCAGCACAGAGTATGCTACTGTAATTCTAAGCAGCAAGCACAATATGTATTGTTCCTAATATAGAGATTGCAAATCTTAACCAGGAGCCAGAGGATATTCCATGGACAACTACAGACATTCTGCATTCCCATATCCCAGGCTCAAGTTAATGAAAGGTAGTCTGTTATCTATAAAATCCAAGGCTGGTCATGTTTTTCACCGCCATTGGCCACAACCATTAACTAACCATACTACCTGATTCCTCATTCACTACTTTAACTGCTGTAAGCATGCTATTGCTGAGCAGGGCCGGACCAAGAGAGGGAGCATGGTGCCAAGCCACCTTGGGCCATGAAAGGGTCAACAGGCTCCGAAGTGTCCCATAGCCGGTCAAACAGACACACTTTTTAACGCAAAACGCAACAAAGCTGAACGTCTTTGAACTCTCAGGCGACCGACCTCGAGTGGACTTTCGGGCGGACTTTTTGGGGCTTTTGGACTTTCAGAAAATTCGCAGGCAAAAGTAAAGGACCCACGAGCACAACAAAATTTCACTGATTAAGAGGTCGGGTCGCAGGTGCCAGGCAGAATACGATGATCTAGAGCTGAGACTCGAGAGAGCTGGATGGTGGCAGGTTACAGGAATGGTACCGTTTGCTGCATTGCATTTGCTGGGTTCAAACTGCGAACCTGCTATGAGCATTTGTGTCCCTATTTCCACACTATAAATGGTATATATATATATATATATATATATATATATATATATATATATATATATATATATAGCGCAGCAGTGATCCCACTCACACGGCAGATCCCTTAAACATCATGCTATTTGACAGTTTTGAGGAAAATTTAGCGTGACTCAGAGCGTCAGTGATGCTAACGCTTTGGGTATGATGAGAGGGAGGCCGGAAAACATGAAAGGTCATTCTCAGTCAAATATATGTATATATATATATATATATATATATACATATATATATATACATATATATATATATATACATATATATATATACATATATATATATATATATATATATATATACTGACATATATATAGACTGAGACTTATGGCTCAGGAAACCTAAAGCAGCGAGCTAGTGCTGAATCAGTTTTTTGATCTTGCAAGCTGCGTGATTCATGGGCCCATTTATTTGACGCAAGCAATGAGCCTGAAGTGAACTGAGCTGAATAAAGAGAATGGAACGGTTATGAGCAATGCACCGAATCGGATCACAAAATATATAAGCTGGTTTTGGCCGCGTCAAAAAAGAGTACACATGTTTGCGCTTCTATTTCTCCTAATCAACAGCTCATTGCGGAGAAAACGGTGTTGCTGTTTAAAACTAGTGCTAAAAGACTAGTGTTACACTGTCCCGGACGCTAGTTGCCAGTGCCGTTGGCGATGATGGTGAGCCACTGGCACAGCTGGTGATGGTGAGCCACTGGCACAGCTGGTCATGATGACGGGACGCGGTGGCATCCGGCACCAGCCGCAGAGTGTTGTGGATCGACCGTTCCCGATGGTGGGAATGCCGCCATCTGGGAAGAGATGGCGGGAATGCCGCCATCGTCAAACACATAGCTGCCGCTGACAGTTCTTTGCAACTTTTCCAGAGTGACTGGTGGGCACCCTTCTGGATCTACTTTTAGTGTCGCAGCAAGTGTCTCTGCGTTTAGCAGATCGCACCGCCCTGTGCGGCGCTTAATACTCAGTGGATTCGTGGCCGTAGGTTGCCCGCGCCACCCGTCGTCGCGCCATGCACTCTCTAGTTTGTTCGGAAACCGCAGGGCCCTCGCGTTTCGCGGG